ATAAACCTTGCTGATTGAACCTACACGGTCTCCAGGAGTTCCTTGGGCTAGGCCTGACACAATCACAGTTTTAGGCTTTTTCTTCTTTTTCCTCTTCTTCTCATGGAGCAATGACATCATCTAATGGATGCTGGAGTAATGCATTTCTTTGGCAAAAGCCTTTCTTTGTGCTATTTTTGAATAATATTACTTTCAGTTTTATGAGTAACTAATAGAGAACTTGCTATATAGGCCACCTTGAGCTCCTGAAAGAAAGGTGGGATAGAAATCAAATACATTAATTTAAACTTTATGCCCAACCTGCCATTTGGTTCACTGCTGTTTTACAAGCCTCCCTCCTTTTGGCCCTATCATCTCTGTTATTCGCTATGAATAACACCATATTCTCACAGCTGTGTAATAGTTCAGAATATTGACCTATCTTGTCCAGTAGAGTCTACTCTGATTGGCACTTGGAGAGAAAGAAACGTTTTCACAGTTTTATTCTCTGTGATCCTTTAACTAGATTGACAGGCATTTAACTGGAAACATCTTCCATGCAAAACAGGTGATCTGCCACTGAGTAATGGGCCATCCCTCAGGAGGTTTCAACTAGAGACCAAACTTGCTCTGAAAATCATGGCCCTCTTCACTTAAGTCTGCTCCTTGCCCTTCGCTCAGATGTATTTTAATTGCAATGTAAAAGCCAAGAGAGTTTATGATGATAATGTGTTTGTCTGGGTCTGTGTCCCTGCACATGCGTGTGGCAAAAACCGCTAGGGTCTATTTCCTCTTATTCCCACAGGGCTACTTAAGCTTGGCTTCGACATCCAAGAGACACCAGCTCAGCATGTCTGCAAAGACAGTCCCAGCTTGGTATCAGAATAAAAATAAGCCCTGAAATGCATTTCTGGATACTATGTCATTCATCAAAATAAAGATGCTGGGCCGTCTCTTGCATCCCTTACGCTAATAAACACACCCATCGGCACAAACCATTACAGATTCTCCCAGCCTCTCAGGGCCTAGGAATGCAAATTACTAAAATTAATACCATCTCCATTCCAACACGCCTAAAAAGCAGATCTTTCATCTGTTGTGTTGTGTTTCAGGCACACTTTGGGGAACACAAATCTCTGAAGGCAAAGAAAAGGAGGGGGGGAGGAAGAACTGGGGGTCTGTGGCTCTTTCGTGCTGTAGTTGCTAGCAAAGGGAGTCATTAAGGCAATCTAGACAAACCTGACATTGCTTATGCTCTGTTCAGGCAACATATCCAGTAGGGGTAGGGAAACCTTTCTTGTTGGTAGCCAAAAATTTGCAGGGTGGGGAGAAGCATGCTCATGAGGATTGCAGGGAATCTCGGGGTGAGTTTTCAGAAATTGAGTGCAGAGGTGGTGGTTGCTGTTGTTATTGCTATGATTTGCTCTTTTCTTTGAAAAAAAAAGCGGAGGGGGGGATGATTGAAAACACTTACCAAGCATAGCATATTAGGAGATGTAAACTTTCACCTAGTAGAGACCATTTTATATATGCTGACCTTTGTTTTGAAATAAAAAGGCAAAAATGATGCTACCCCAAATTGCTGTTTTTTTCCATCAAATTTCTCAGTGTAGTCTTAGAACAGGTGACCCAAGCGCCTCCACAACTGGATTTGTGGTACATGCAGCTTGCTGGTTGTGGTTTGCTCTGCCTGAGCTACAGGGTGTTCACCCACATTTCTTAAGAGTAGCAATATTTATTTAATTAGTTGTTCCTTCTCCCAGAACAGCATTGATAGTCAAAATCAGCATGAAACTGTTACGTAAAGCAAAATGAAATAAAGATTAGGAGCTTTCAAGTCATGCAAAACATCTACAGCAATTCCCAAGGAGGTTGAAAGAGAGTAAGTAACATTTGCAGAACTTCTCAAGCAGAGAAGAAATGTTTCCAGACTCTACCCCAGGTCTATGGGCCATTCCTGGAAATGTAATATGCATCAGATATGTCTTTGAGTTCTTCAGTTCACATGACGCAACCCACATCCAATCATTCCTCTATCAGTTATCTCTCTTCCCTTCCAGTTTCTGCACAGCTTTAAACAAAATCATTTTATCTCTTCCTGGTTAAGCATTGCAATAAAATATATACGAGTGGGAAGCAGCCAAACACTGGTGTCCTCCCCATTTCTGATGAGATCATTCCAGACAAGGCTGTCTTTTGTTTCCCATCCATTTTAACATTTACCCAAAGGATGGGAAATCAGTGGCCCTGTAGAAGCTGTGGTACTTTAAATTCCAGCTACCTCCAACCAAGGAGTGTCAGAAGCTGTAGTTCAACCGCATCTGGATGGTACTGGCCAAGGATTTGGAAGACACCATAACAATAAACTTCCTTCCGATTTCTAAAATAAGCTGCTGATTTACACTGGGAGGAATATATGAAGAGACAGGGACTGAAAACAAAATCTTGAGTTGAGCAAATGTTCACAGGCACCTTGTTTCACAATATCTCATTCATCTTCCTGAGCCACAGCTTGATACTGGGCTTCAGCCGGCAAACCTAGAGATTCTAGTGAAAAATGTAGATCCCACGAGCATAAGATTTCCATACCTCTGTTTAAGAGATCATTTCAAATTAATCTTGTTCTCCTGAGAACTGTTATTTCTGCAAATGGAAGGAGGCACTGCTAATTTTTTTCTGCTTCTCAATGAATAGTTTTATGAGTTTCTATGGAGTATTTCAGTGTAAGCTGCTAGAGAGGACCCTTGTGGCAGACAATGTAGCCTATGAACTAAACATCAATAAAAAGAAATAATTTTCCTGTATTAATTACAAATCAGACAAGGGAGAGATTTGTTCATCCACAGGTTGCCACAGTCTCACAGAAGGAAGCTGCCAACTCCATGCCAGCAACTTAATTTTTTTCAAATTAAATGCAAACCTGCCTCCATGATAGTTTCACACATCATGCTCTTATGATGTGTTTTTGGACTCAGCATGATCTACAAACAGAAAAGCATACCATGGTTTATTTGACAGCTCTATATCACTGGTTGAAACCCTGGTTTATCTGGGGGTTACTGACTGCAACTGTAGCTTTGTTAGATATGGGATTCATGGTTTGTGGTTTCCTGGCTTATTCTTGGTTATTGCCTCACTCAATAGCCAAGAATAATTTGGTTATTTTCTAAGCCACAGAGCCATGAAGCAAAGAATTGTTAAAAATGATAGGAAAAGAAATTGCAGGTTTCTACAGAGCTACCGAGCTGTAAGCCTTACTCCGAGTAGTTCTTATATACAGAAAAGTAGGTATTTGATTCTTTGAGCCTGTAGCTGTCCAAACTCTTAGGCAAAGAGGGAACCTTTCTAACTTACACTCAGAACAATGGGACTTCCTAAATAATGACATCCATATATAAACTATCTTATATACAAATGCCTGTCTTGCCTTTCCTCTAACTCAAGGTGGGAAATACAGCATGCCCACCTCAAATATTATCCCAACGACAAACCTATGAGTTAGGTTGAACTAAGAGGGACAGAGTGACTAATCCAAATTCTGTGGCAGAAGATGGATTTTGCTCCGGCACCTCAACCACAGCACCAGCCTGGTTCTCAGGTCCACCAAAGCTGCAGCCGTTCATGGTAACAGACAGCAACACTTCACTCTCTCATCCTTGAGGTCTGTATAACTGGAGATGCCAGGGCAGTGTTTCTCAACCTTGGCCACTTGAAGATGCGTGGACTTCAACTCCCAGAATTCCCCAGCCAGACGTCTAGG